TGCGGCACTGACGTCGCCGCCTCCTCCGCAGGCGCCGCGAGCCCGGCCGCCAAGGACAAAAGAGCGGCCGCGTCCCCAGCGTCGCCATGAGCCACGCCGAGATGGGCAAGTTCAACATCTCCCCCGACGAGGACAGTAGCAGCTACAGCTCCAACAGCAACGACTACAGCTACCCGTACCCCACCAAGCCGGCCGCCATGAAGAGGTCAGCCGCAGGCCTGCGCCAGCCTAAACGCGGGGTCACAGTGGGCTCGGCTGATGTTGACACGGGTCGCGGATAGCGGAAATGAGTGTGGGAGTGAGCGTGCACAACGGGTCCTGCAGCCAGAAGAGCAGGGGGTCAGGCGCTTCTCCGCGGGTGGAGGGGAGGGGAGGTCTGCTTGGCTGTCTGTGTTCCTCTCTGAGGGGAGATGGAAACGTTAAGGAAGAAGCAAGCAGGCAACTCGCATAGGATAATTATTAAAAATGAAAATTTTCTTACAGCCGGTATGCAGATATTGATCCAGAAAATCAAAATTTCTTACTTGACTCTAGTGTTGGAAAGAAGAAATATGAAACTCAGTATGTAAGTATATCATAGTGCTAAATGCTTGCTTTCTTGCCAAATGGAAGATGTTTGTTTTAATTCTGAAGTGATAACTATCTAATTATTATTACCTATCTCCCTTTTTTCAGCATCCTGGTACTACTTCCTTTGGAATGTCAGTATTTAATCTGAGCAATGCTATTGTGGGTAGTGGCATCCTTGGTCTTTCTTATGCCATGGCTAACACTGGAATTGCTCTTTTTGTGTAAGTATATTTTGGTTCATCAAAAAAAGCTTTTTGCTTTGTAACTGGTGCTTGATAGATATTTGAAGTAAAACTAGATCTTTACAAAATTGCCACTCATTGCCATCGGCACAGAACTGCAATGTTTTACTCACTAAATGTTTTTAGTTTATATTGTGACATTGAGAAAGAAATACGTGAATTAAGCAGATACATTACAAATCCTTCAATCTACAGAACAATTTACAGTAAATTTACCTTTAGTCTTAATCTGTAGCTTCTTAAAAATAAAAAAACTATTATAGCTTCCTTGAAAACTCCATTATACAAGTGGAAGAGAGAGATGCCAGACTGAAATCTGTGTTTGTTTTCCTCTCAGAGCTCAGTGACTTGAACTAACTGACAATTTCCTGCCAACATTAGTGGGAGTCCTAAGAAAGAAAAAAAAGAATTGTAGTAAATTGAAATAATCTTTATCTTAGATTTTTCTCTTGTTTATCTCTTGCAAGTCTGGTCTTGCCTACTCTTAAAGGTACATGAGGCACACTTCTTCTCGTGAGGGATGTGATTTTTTTTTTTTTTTAATTTATTTCCTCTGCTGATACAGTTATGCCTACAGAGGTATCACATAAATCAATGAAAAATCCATTTTACTGTGGTGCTTTACTCAGTTTATGGGGCTGGTTTCAGCTGTATGTGTAAAAACAGCTGTGTCACTCAGCAAGGGACTGAGGGGAATTACCGGTATCCCCAATCCGTATTGGTATATCTGTACTGGTAAAACCCTTGGAGTGCGAGGCAAGGCCATAGTAGCAGAATTGGAAATGACGCTAGTAAACAGTTATGTGCAGTGCAACCCGCATCCATAGGACTGGCACTAGTGAGTATCCGTGGATATGTTTAAATGGACTTTGTATTTTCACCCTGGAAATAGGTGAACGTACTGAATGTTCAAGAATAAATGAACAATAATGTTTATCTTCAAAGTCTGGTTTACTCTGTTGCTGTAGGTCAGATTCCCTTTCAGATATTTCCCAACATGATGAGACGATGTTTCGTTTTCATGGGAAACCACTGATAAATAAAGTTTTGGTCTGAAGGATTTTATTTTAAATATTTGCTGTTCTATTTATTTTTGCCAAGACTTTCATTTAATTAAATGATACTGAACTCTGTGAACAACTTAGCATAAATTAAGCATAGAAATAGTTACTTCACCCTTCCACATGCCATTTTCATTGTTCTAAAGTTGTTCTACACAAGGCATAGGATAGCCTGCATAGTGCGTGTTACAGCATCTCTGAAGGGGGGGGTGGAAATGGGGAGAAAAAAGAAAAGTAATTGATTTTTGAACAAATTTTTTCTAATTGTGGTGTTCTCCCTTCCCCCCCCCCCCGCCCCGTCCTCATCCCCCCAAATTTTAAAATGTTCAAAAATACTCATTCAGCAATCAGGTGCTAAAGTGATTTGTTACTGATTATTTCCAGATACTGCGTTCAGATCTGTTTTTATTAAAATTGGTTTACAGGAAAACTAGTTTGCTGTTATTTAAAACTTAAGTGTGGTTACTATAGTTCAGATACAGGAAAGTGGAAATACCAATCACTGATGATAGTGAAGGTTCAAATTGGAGTAGTAATGGAAGCACAGGCATCTTTTCAATATTTAGGCTACAGATTGAAACCTGGATGTAGTTGATTATGAGACTAAGTTCCTAGAAGACTCTGAGATGGCTTATCTGCAAGCTCTGCTAAATACATGAATGTTCTGGTCTTGAAACCAGAAGCTGATTGATCTTCTAGAACAGTTTAGATGAGTATTCAGAAGCTGTACTGTTTAAATGAAATGCATCCATAAACATTCAATTCTACTGTTCCTAGTAGATTGCTAAATTAAATCCGACTTAATATGTATCTTTCACAAATACGGAGGTTTATCTGTGTTCATTTGCACACTATCACAGACACGCTAACACAGATTTCCTGGTTTACTTATATAGGCCTGTGAAGCTGTTCTCGAGCAAGCTTGTTTTCAGGCTCTATTTACTGCTTTCACAAACACTAAGAATCATACAAAGAGAAATAGAGTATGCTGGGAATTCAGTAAACTGAGGTTCACATTTTTGAGCAGATGGATTGTTTCTTAGGTTTACTCCTCTATAAGCAGAATGTTTGTATTACTGCAAGGACATTGTGCGCACGTGTGTGTATGTATATATGTATATGGTGGACCATAGGTTTCCTCTGTGTTCTTCAGCTGTGAAGAACAGTCCCCCCCTAGTGTGCTGCTCTGGGAAGTGCAGATGTTGTGGTACACTTGAGGGATTTGAATTTTAGGTGTTGTAAAAATGTGTTTC